ATTAACATCGGACAAAAGCGATTGAAGAAGAGATAGAAGTCTTGGCCGGCGTAGATAGTGTTACCGCTCAGCTCCGAAAATAGAATGGTTTGAAATTTAAGACTCGTCACGCATACACGTCATAGGAATCGAATAAATTCTTTATAACAATGCCTCGCCTTTCTTCCACAGAGCGTAGCTTGTTGTCTGACCACTTACTTTGTAAAAAAAAGGCAACAAGCGATGCTCTGTGAAAGTAAGGTGAGGTCTTTTTATTGAGGATTTGACTGCTATTTTTTATTTCAAGTAGCGGTCGTAAATATTGCTATAATGACACGACGCCTATCACGCAAGATAATCGTCTCACAGCTGGAGCTTGGGCTGTGTGTGCACGTGTGGTTTTGCAAGATACCTTTGGCAAGCTCGCCTGCAATGTATACTGCAACTAATACTTTGCCATTTATTTGAAAAAATGACGCTGATAAAAATAATTGAGTGAGCATCCTTTTGATTAATATAAGCTAACTAAAGCTCGGAGGCAGGATGTAGAGAATAAGTTGTGTTTTCATTGATTTTACTTCCGGAATTCTTCCAAATAGCGTTGTTCTCACATGCATAACAAAAAGTTCCGTACATTAGCCATAGCCTTAACTATAAACCTTTTAACTCCCATGAGTGACTAAGAAAGAATTTCTCGCACAGTTTTAGTAAAAATTCAAGCAGACAAGTGATGATAATAAAGAAAAATATCACTTGGGGAAGTATTAGTTGATCCAATACCAAATTCTCCAAAGTAACATCATAAGAATTGTACGGCAGACAGTAAGGAGAATTACTGAAAAGATCTTATAAGATAACCTACGAATGAAGTGAGCGTGATCTAAATAAGTGACAGTTTCAAGTTCTCAGAAGTATGAACTTCGGTGGATTGTATGAAAAAAACTATGAATAACACAGCTAAAGCGTTGTAATGATAGTGAAGCAATATGCCTTGAAGGAACGTGGATATTCTCCGGTCGTTAAATATTTTTTCAGGAAACCACAAATTTAAAAGTGCTATTCGAGAACCTATCGAGACATGAATAAATGACAAATTGAACGAACCATAAAATTAATTTCTTAAGGGGAGTGGAAAGTTATGTTGCACGTATGGAAACAGTAAAAAGCATGTTACTACAATATATTTTAATTTCTAAATCGCCAAAGACTATCTGTTGGTAGCGCATAGATATGCCTACTGGCAAAACTAAATTAGCAATATACTGCATGTACTTTCCATCGCTTTACTGGGGTAATAACCCACTTTGATGTTGAGAGGATACGGTAAAATTTTGTTAATAAATCACGAGTCGGAGTGCGGTCTACTAAACTTTAATTTTCAATGGGTTTACCGGTGCAATGAATGATAGGTTTTTGACCAATCAAGACGCTGGTATTATCTCCGTTATTTTATAAAGAACGGATAAACTTCCATCTATTACACTTCCGCCGAAAATGTGAGCTATAAATTATCTTAAACGAGATACAGTCCAAAATTGCTTTGCCGGATGTTTGTGGAAATAATTAGCATATTAAAGGCATTCGATAGATTTTAGTCTCCGGGAAAGACGCCCAGATCTTACGGAGAGCTTTAGTTGCTGTTTGCAATCGAAAATATACCTTGTATGATATTTTTTACATAAAAAAGCAAATCAAAATCGCACGAAACCGTGGGGAAAAGTTATCGGTAAGTGGAATTAAAATTAATTCACAGTCGAATATTAAAAGCTGGTCGTATCTAGGCTCTATGCCAAGGTTTAAGTTTCCATTAGTTTAAAAAAGATCTGCATTGTTGCAGAAATTCACTTATGAAATGAAGATCTACGAGCTTTTCATACTTTATTACTCTATGATGTAAAACGTAATTAAGTGAAAACATATTTCCACGAGTACATGGCCTGCAAAGCTGGCTATTTTGTAGGAGTTTTGAGCGGCGAAACTACGGAAGGAACAATAACAAGCTCGAGGAAGCTGTTTTCGTGATTTTGCGGCCTTTAATTTCATCGAGCGCCCGAAAATCCACTAGAGCTGCGACCTCCGGAAGCTTACACGTTTACTCTCTATTACGAGTGTGAAATGATTTTTTGCTTTCCCTTCTTCTCTTGCGCGCCAGTTGATTTTAACAGTCAATTAGATGCTTGTCACTCTTCGGGGTTAAAGCAGATCGCATGGCTGACTAAGACAGTCTGGAGTAATGCAAAGGAACTGTGTGTATAAAGTTCAATTTTTAGGCGGCATGAGAGTATTCCTTTTTACTGCTTACCAACCTTGCGTTAGCCAGAGAACGTATTCTAATCAAAATCAAATCATAACAATTTTCCTGCAGAAATTTTAAAGCATTATTATCTGATTTTATTTGCAGCCATTGGTGGAATTGGGAAGCTAACATGATGAATCTTCCGTTTAGTTTGGTTGCTGTGTCCTTGTTTACATCTGGCTATGTGACCATCTTTTCAGTAGCACTGACCGCAAACATTTTCATTATTTTCCTTGTTCTCAAAAAACCTGTAATGAGAACAACCATCACCTACTTCTTCGCTAACATGGCTGCCGCTAATCTTCTTGTAGCTGTCTTCATTATACCGCAGGCTCTGCGGTATCTCTTCGCCGTAGACGCTTGGTTTCCAGGAATGCTCGGTCAAGTTTCTTGCAGACTTTTACATTATACGGACGCCATCTCCACTACAGCTTCCATTCTGAGCCTGATAGCCATCTCGCTGGACCAGGTGAATGTTATCTTGTTCCCCATAAGGAGAGCTGTGATGATAAGATATACCAAATTTATTTCGCTCGTTATTTGGCTCCTGTCTATGGTTTTCACCTCTCCTTATCTTGCCATGTTCGGTGTCAAGACGGTATCTGGTCAGCAGCATCGATGCGTTTACTTGGTCCTCAACCATGTCGTTATGGAACTTCATGTTTCATTAATCTTTGTTTTCTTATACGGGTTTCCTCTCGTTTTTATGGCAACTTTGTACGCTCTCATGGGACGAAAGCTGTGGTTTCGAACCATTCCAGGAAATATTCATAGTATCCATCGACGAGCTGCCGAGAAAACCAAACGCCGCACCATCCGCTTGCTAATCGCACTCATAGCAACATATGCATTATGCTGGCTTCCTGCTCACGTGCTTGGCATGTGCACGGTTTTCGAACCAAATGTGACAAGAAACCTGGCTCCCCATTGGTCCTTACTTATTGCATTTATTGCGCATGCGAACTGCGCTTTCAATCCTTGCATTCAAATTGTTTTAGACAGGAGATTCAGAGCAGAGTTCTTCAAATTACGGAATTGTGGGAGAAATATAAAGCAGTGGTGCATTTGTAAGAAAGGAAAAGTTGAGAATAACAGGGAAGCTAAAACGGACGTGCTAAGATTCAAAACTTTGGAGAGTGTTATAGAGAGAATAGCAAAAGGTCGAGGAAGACTGTACGATTTGAGCCCTACAAAAAACGATACACAGCTCCGTCCATTCTCTCCCGTACAGTTATCTTACTACAGCGAGGTAGTGGAAACAGAAAACTAAGCTCGATGAATTAAAACTGAAGCTGCGATGCTAAACAGAGGCATTTTGGATGATAAACGCGATCCATACTGATTAACGTAGGAGCTCATTACCCGGATAATGGCTCGTAGTACTACCAAAGTATATTCAACCGCTTTTGATCAAACTGATAAAGATGATTTCTTGTTTTATTGCATTTAATGTCTTCGGTTATCGTATTATAATGAAAAGAAACAGCAAAAATCTAACATTGCCTAAAGGCAGTCTAGTGTTAGAACTAAGGGAATTTCTGCCAGAGAGGGTAAAATTCGTTAAAACACGGACGTAACTTTCTTGCCTTTTTTGTGCACGAAGAATGCAACTAAATAATAAAAAGGAGTCGGGTTCCGGCCGCCGGATAACCAGGAAGAGGTGAAGGAGAAATACAAGTCAAGCTGGCTAAGTCTCCGTTGCTAGTGCTTTAGTGTGCGCTGAAGCGACGAGCAGCTAAGCCGCGAGAGGATTGGAACGGAGGATAAATATATCGACATGCGCGTCTTTGCCGGTCATCACTTGCATACACAACTGCGTCAGATGTACAGGGCATAGCAGGTTTCGCTCGGGACAGACCTCATTAGTTTGTAGTGCATTTTGCGTCCTTCTTGTACACGACTTCACACATGATCAGCACGCGCTCTATAAAAAAATAGGGAAAGAAAGTGTGTTTTTTTTAATATTATGTATGGCCTGAGCTTATTGTGAGCTAGATCATCATTTTGCCTTGATCAGTTAGGGTGATTCATTCTTTTCTTTTGGTTTTGAGTTAGACAAGAACTTTTCATATATGTAAAGCAGATATTGACCAATTCTTAGAGCAGAATATATGAACAATAACCAGAAACGCCAGCGGTAGCAAATATTATTGTGATGACATTGTAAAGAATTAAATGTATGTATACAAGATAATACTACTCCAAAAATTGAGGGGCTGACGTTAAACCCCTCAACTCACCGAGGTGATTGACATACAACTTCTCCCCATAATATCCATACATTGTCCAGCAAACGGGTAATGAGAATGCTCCAACTCATCAGGTAGTAGTTAAATTGATCTAATACCAAAATTTCATAACTTATACAAGGTAATGTGAAGCAGCCAGGAGAGAGAATTGAAGGGCTTACCTGGCTCCGCGCTCCGGGAACTGCGGTGCAACTTAGTCCGGCTATGGACTAAGGACTTTCATAAAATATCAAAGTTTCACATTTCTGGCTCTCCTGTTATAATTAAGCTTCTCTTTCTTTGTTCTATTCTTCCATATTTACTTTCTCGTCTTACTTCTTTGTTATTTTTCGCTTGTTTCTGTTAGTATTACTCAATCTTTCGTTGTTGTTGTTGTTTTGTCGTGGGAGGGGTAGAGGGTAAAGTTTTTTAAATCACATGACAGTAAACCCTTGTAGACCCGACCGTTTGAACTGCTCATGCGCTGTAGTTGTCAACTCACGTACACTCCAGTCGGCGAATGAACAACATGAAATCAGGGAAATGGCGATGGCAGTATTCACCTCGCGGCCTAATTCTCATCCTTTTGAGGAAAGGAGAGTTCCTTTAACGGAGCCGGTAAAGATAGGACGTTCAGTAGCGAAGAGTAGACCAGCCACAAACAATTGTATCTTCGACTGCAAGGTCTTGTCGAGGAACCATGCTATCCTATGGTATGAAGACGGGAAGGTCAGTGAAATAAATGGATTATCATAACTGTGATGTTTACATCGAGACATTATAACTGTTGTCTGCAAAGCTCTTTCAGCTAACTAGAAAGTAATTTAAATCTTTTAAATTGCACAATACGATTTAATCTTGAAATCCTGAGTAGTGATGTAAGTGGTTGTTCAATTTAAAGAGTAACGTTTTCAACCAATTCAATGACATTGGTGTTTCGCCGCTGAGAGATGATACTAAAACTTCTTTGTCGAGAGAAAGATTCTTCCTTTAAAAGTAACAAATAAAAGTTAATCTCAAGGGTCCTTGTTACATGTATTATTGCGTGAATTTTTCCGGAAACACAACTTGTGATTATTTTCGACTTGTCACATGCTACTTACACGTTAGCTGTATTGATCTTTGATCGAGCAACTTTTTTGTGTGGTTTTCTTTTTCTTATTGGCAAACCACCTTCGATTTAAAAGCACAAGTGGAGATAATCGTCTAAACGCTTCGTCAGATAAACTATCCCTTCCAAAAGATTATGTGTTTTGGAATTTAATTAATTTAAAGGTTATATGTTGAGAATTTGTTTCTTTTGTAATGCAGTCTTATTTGAAATTCAAAAATTTATTTGATCGTAGTATGTTCTGTGGCATGCTTTAATCGTGTGATTTCAGTTTCATTGCCGAACTGTAAACGAAATTGTTCTTCTCTGCTAAAAAGTTTGCCTTATTTGGTTCACATCCTCCTACTCTTTCCTGTCTAAGTTGGAGGTGTCAACAAACTTGTCTGAACCGCAGCGGAAATGCTTTCATTCAATTTGAGTAAACACCATTTTGTTTGTTGAAAAAATTGCTAATTTTCAAATGTATATGCAGGCTGAAACACATCATTTTGTTTGACAAACATTTTACTGAAAGTTACCCGGGGTATGTTCTTGCAAAGCAACTAAAACTTTCAAATGAAAAAAAGTTATTCTGATATAAGAATTTCATTGTTTACATTTCTTTACAGTTTCAACCAGTTGGAGGTACACTCTACATGTAAATTTACACAACTGCTCATCAAATAAACTGCATAGTAGAGGGGAATAACAGTCTTAGTTAATCGTGTTTCCTGTTTCCTTTGATTTATTGCCCATGAATAGAATGAACTTGACCTGTAATGAAATGTAGCAATGCAAAAGTGCTGTGCCTCATTTACAGCTGATTAGGCATATCATGATATCAGTCAAAATTATCAAAACATTTGTTTTAAAAGCATGAAGTGGCCATTGATACCTGTATGTTGCAAACCAGCTTATCCTTGTATTTAATTCAGTATTCATAATATTAATTGGTTGTCTAAACGCCTAGAGAATGTTGTATTGATCTAATATAGTCAGTAAATACAGTAAAGAGATGATGTTATGTGGTTACTTAAATGACAACAGCAAGGTACAGTCATACCAGCAAGTTCTAATTTTTCAAGGAAAAATTGTCCAATGTATGGTGGAGTCCAAAATAATATCCCAGTGAACAAAGTCTGGGAAAAATGATAGAGTAGAATTTCCATCAGAATTTTTTGTCACAAAAAAAAGTACCCTTGGCAAGTTTCCTTGTGTAGTCACTTATACTAACAAATTGTTCTCAGCAAGTTTTGCTTGAGCAGGTTTCTATATTGATAATTTGACATGTGTGATTTTAAGCAAGAGGTCTTTTGGAAAAAAACTGTGGTAAATATATTTTCGCATAAGGACTGCTTAAGAGTACTTGACAAGAGAGAAACAAAGAAAATGATTTGGTAGAGCGAATTCTGCTCTTATCAACTATATTTACAATGTTACATGTTGATACATTCATTATAGGCATCTTTAATATGTGTTCATTATAACTCTGCATCCTTCTTACAGCTTCTGTCGGTGGTTTTTTTTCTAGAAAGGACTGACACAACCAGATGACATGTTTTGAATCTCCAAGCAACTCTGCCCATTGTTACATTATTCTGTAGATCCATTTGTCTTTCTGAATACATGAACTAATTGAAAGTCACTCAACACAATGATTACCCATCTGAGACAGAAATTTAAATCTTGTTGTGAATAACTTATATGTGTATTCATTGCAGATTTTAGTATCATTAAGTAAATTTTATGAATCTCAGACTATGTTATTCATTGATATCAGCTGATATGTGAAATATCATATGAATGATTTCGTTGTTTCAGTTCTTCTTGCAAGACACAAAAAGTAGCAATGGAACTTTTGTGAACAATGTGCGGCTTAGCAAAGGTTCAGAGGAGAGTGAGCCAAAGGAGTTAAAGTCTGGGGATATTGTTCAGTTTGGAGTGGATGTAGTGGAAAACTCTAAAAAAGGTTAGAGATTTTGCTTAACTTTGTAAGATACCATGTTTTATTTTTAAGAGTGGTAGTGCTGTGCAGAAGGAGACTTAGGGCTGGTTATTAAGATGAAGCCTAACCAAAACCATGGTCTTACACAATCAGTGGGCCTCAGGCTTTCTATCTAAAAGGATTGATGTAATTAAATAAATGTCCTTTCACTGTAAGATTTCTGCAGGCTTTACACTGTTCACAAACATAAATGTTCAGATAAAAGGTCTAGCTGAATTGAGGATTGATTGAATGCAGTTTTGTTAACAATAGCTAAGCTTTTTTCTAAATAATCAGACCTTAGTGTTCCAAAACCTGGATTTAAGGGTTTAAGGTTTAGGCTCATAGTTGTGTGTTATTAGACAAGATATTTAACTATGATAGCCCTTCTCTCCATTCAGGAGTATAGGGAGGTGATAAAACTGACAAAATGTTCATATTTGGACTTAATGTCTTTTTCATTTATTGGTTCTCAGTAACTCATGGCTGTATTGTGGCTACTGTGACCCTGTTTCTACCTGATGGAAAAGAAGCAACCAAGTAAGTCATGGTTGTCAGGCTGTGGTTATTATAAGCTCTGTAAGGGCTATACATTAATCAATTCAAACTTTAACATCCACCCCCCCTCTCTTCCTTCCCTTCCCAGGCATTTGAACTTTCACTGACAAAAAATTCATCAGATACTACTGCTTTCTGTGGCATTTTCTGCCATTTTAGTGTTGAAGATAGTTTAAAACACAACAAAATGTATCATTTTCAAATCGAATATAGCAGTAGACAGTTGAAAGCAAAACAGAAGTACTGGTTTGGGAAAAAACATAACTTCATTTATTAATGAAAATGAACACACATCAGAATGGTAGGAGTTTGAGAAACATTGCATTCATTGATAACTTGATTATGATTTAACTTATTGCAGGAGTGGTGTTCCCAGAAGCTTGTTTGCATTGGTATGTTGTTAAAGGGCAGTTTTCCTTTAATCCTTTACTCTTAAGATAAACTAATAAATAATTTTCTTTTGTCACCAGTCAAGATGTAGGGTGATAGCAGTGATAGTATTGATAGCATTATCCAACCTTTGAATAACTAGGCGCCAGTAGTTTAAAGAGCAGATAGCACTATCCAATGGATGAATGGTCATCCAGTGGATAAGTAGTAATAAAACATACTGATTATTAAATATTGATTAGAATTATTAATATTAAATATTAATATAATTCTTAAATTCCTATAATGTTGTTTCCACTCTCACAACAGAATGAAAATGGCATCCAAGCACAAGAAATATGGCAGTTATCCCAGTATTTACAGGTAAATGTAAAGCAGTATATCATGTTTGATCAGTGTGTCCTTATTATTTGCCATTCTTGGGTTGATAAGTGAAATTTTCATGCAAAAAAAAAAGTCACTTGTCTTGTAGTTATTTTAATGATAAAATTCAATTTCTCATTACCTTTTTTTTTTGTTTGACAGGATGCGCTCTACAGAGAACAAATGCTGGAAAATAAACTGGCAAATCTTCAGAGACTTATATCAGACTCAAAAGGAGCAGTGGAGGACAATACACAGGTAGTTGCTTATGGCATTGGTTTGTTTCTTAAGGATGTCTTGATGGCTATGCCTTTCATGTATACTGTACTCTGAATTTTGAAGTTGCATGGACATGCATCTTTGATTTTTTCCTTTTCAGTCATTTGCTCAAGAGGACAAATTGCTGTCAAGATTAGAGATTTTGGAAAACCAGCTGGAAACTTTAACAAAGGTAAAGTATGGAGCACCATGTGTTCACAAGAAACATTTGAAGTATGAACATTAATGGTCAAAGTGAGGATTTTTCAAGTAAGCTTGTCGAGTATGTGGACACAGGAAAATTAAGATGGCATTTATCTTTTCCAGAATTTAAATGAAGATGACATAAAAAAAGAACTGCTTGTTCTCCAAGAGGAAAGGCACAATTATGAAATGAGAGCAAAGGTGGGTGTTTTGTGTCAGATTTTGATTTTTATCCTAAGACGTTGTGGCCTTAGGGTTAAAGCACTAGACTCCAATTTGAGGGTTCAGGTTCCAGACCTGGCCAGGACATCTCTTCCAGGAGGGGGAAGAGAAGAGTGATACTCCCAGTCACTTCATGCTATGGAAACTGGGATTAGTTCCAGCTGTATGACTGTGCAACTGGACATACTGATTAGTATAGACTTAACCTTTTTTTTTTTTTTTTCCTGAACCCCTATGATTTTAGTATACATGTAAACCCTATCGTAGGCAAGTATATGTATCTACAGTTTATGGCATTCCTTGCATGAATATGGAAGTTAAGGTGATTTCTTTGTGTTTTTCTTTGCTTGTAGATATGGTGCTTCTGATAACTTACTTTAGATATTGTTCTTTGTCTCTCCTAGGAGTCACTCAAAAAAGTGTTGCAGGAAAAATTAGAAGCTATTCAAAAATTAACTGAAATAGAGGTAACTGATGGTTTAAGTGCATTTTATTGTGTAGAGCCAATGGAAAAATGGTTGTAAGTAAACATGTGAAAAAGCTTTTTATGTAAGTTGTACTTTTTTTTTCTATAATTTCTAGAAATCATGTAACAATGCTGAGGATGAATGTCTTCATTTTAAGTCCTTATACGAAAGATCACAGCAAGAACTTAAAGATTTGGCTGAAAAACACAAGCAGGTAAGGGAATGGTGTCACCCCTGTTATGTTTTTCATTGGTGTCAGTCAACTTTATGTAATTCATATTATGTTATAAAGCTTAGTTCCTTACTGTGGTGGTAAATCTCACTGATGTTATTCTTACCCTTGTGTAAACTTCTCTGTGACTTACATTGTAATATCTTCTTAACTTGCCAGAGATTACAAGAAATGCAGAGTCTTCAGGATCAAGTTGAAGAAGCTGAAAAGAGACATTCTGCAGTTGAAGAGCAGGTGAGTTAATAGTGAAAATGTTTTGTTAATTTGAATGCAGTTAACCATGCATTGTGTTCAAACTCAAAACAACGAAATCAAGGCATCTGAAATGCTCAAAAGTTACCAATAAAGTCTAAGCCTACAAAATGATGCCTGGTTTGATCATGATGACATTGGTTCATTGGTGTATGCACATGCATAAAGAGACCAAATTTTTACCAACCAAGAATTTTGGACTTATGTTTTTTTATAAAATAATTCAAATAGTACACGCGCTCCGATTGGCCATAAAACCATTTTACATGAGTGTATGTAAACACGGTTTTTGTTCCTCTTTCATTAGTTATCATTCATTAGTTCTCTATACATTTTCTATTATTGTATTGGGAGAATTTGTCTAACAATCAAGAGCCTCTAGGGTTTATGATAATTTCTTTTATTGTCATGACCTTAATGTTTTATTCAAGGCTGGTACTGTTGGGAGAAATTATATGCTTTTTCTCTCTCAGGGGTATAATAGGGTGAATGTTTTTTTTTTCCCCTTTTGTTTTAAACTTCGAATTATGTTTTATTTGTAGGCTCTTCAAGAGAAAACTGAATTTGAAATGAGACTAAAAGAAGCGGAGCTTCGTGAAGCTTCATTAGCTGCACAGGTTTGTTGATATGAAGAAAAGAAGACAGGCTTTGGAAATGTTAAGCATGACTTCTTCAGCAAACAGGAAACAAAAAAATCCAGTCTCTCACCATCTGCTCACAGCCATTTTCATACTTAGTTAAGATATCTGCATAATTTGTCAACAAGACACTTTTTGAAATTTTGTTCAGGGTTGATGAAAGACAAGTGGAATGTTTAGTCAAGTCAGAATTCTCCCCTGTAATTTATCATCGGCATAAGCATCATGTTTAAACTCGCATTTGTGAGCATTTTTATGACGTTGGTCTGTTGCTGTTTTCTGTAACAGTTCATTGGCAAATCCTCAGACTTTGTTGGTAGAGATCTTCTAACTTTTGCAGAACAGCAAACACCAATCTTAAATGCTCTCTCAATGATTGATTCACTGACCCATTGGAGTGAAAACTTTATGTGCTTCTTGATTAAAAGTAAAATTTTATTCACTACTTTCTATTTACAGAAAGAATCTTTACAAGCAGAATGTGATTTTAAGAAAGAACAAGTTGAAGCAATGAAAGGTAAAATAGTTTATGACCTCTATCTAAACCAAGGTCTATAATTTCTCTACTGATAAAAAGATTGCATGTTCTGTATGACAAATGTTAAACCCCTTGACTCATCAATTTGATCAATGTACCTGCAGTCACTATGATTGATGGCTTCAACCAAGTTGATTTTAAGACTTTGAAATTAATATTCCTCTTCAGAGAATTTGGATCAATGCTAGTATCTGAGCAAATGTGCACCTACCCACCCTCCCATCACCTAATAACAAGTCAGGGTTAATGTTAGGCTGCGGGGGGGGGGGGGGGGTGGATGTACAATTGTTCACATACTGACACTAATCCATTTTACACTGTTTCTAAACTTCTCAGCCCCAGTTCAACTCCTCCAACTTCAACTTTGTAGACTAGGCAGTCTTGACTATGCACAACAAGTTTAACAAGTCAGTGGTTCTAAGTGGAATTTGACTTAAGTTTCTTCACCAACAAACAGAATTTCAAACAGAATTTGTTCAAACATAGCAAGGTGTTTCCCCTTTGCCAGCAAAAGTTGGTCAGCCTAACCAATAAATCTGCCTGCCAATTCATTTGCACACACTTATACTTTGACTCTGAAAACAAGAGAAAAAAGTACATTAAGAGCCCTTAGAAGATGTTTTTACTCTGCCTTAAATTTGGTTTTGTTGATTGTCATTCTAACCATGTTTTTGGCATGATTTTTAGTTCACATTGATAAAACTAAAGATGAACATCGCCAGCCAGGTGCTGAGTACAAATCACCAGTGATCCAGCTACAAGGTATAATTTTATTTCAATTGCATGACATTGTGACAACAAAATTTATTCTACAGGTGTAGGTAAACTGGCAGCAGGTGTAGGTAAACTGGCAGCAGGTATTACAACTTTGGGGAACTCCTTTGCAGTAACATTGATCTGACTTGGTACCAAAATTAATTACATGCACATGTAAGAGATTAGATTGTGGTGTAATTTCCATATCTGCATTATCTGTTCCATCACTCTGACCACATGTTTAGGCAGACATCAGTCTGTGGTTCATGAACTGTTGGCTGAATGCCAGCTTGTTAACTTGTATAAACATTTGAGAGGACTGGGAGAATTTTAACATTCCTAGATGGGTTTTAAGTTGAGCTATCAGCACGAAAGCTCTTGTTCTCAACAAGAGCTTGAAATGGAAAATATGCATTTTTTCTGGTTTGTTTATTTTACAGGTAGGTTGGAAATTTATTAGCTCCATAATATATTTGCTTTTCCTGTGAATTGGTTTTAATAGTGTTAATTCTTTAAAAGATGGTGAAGAACTTTCAGATACATGCACTGTTTCTTCCTTTGGGAACTTTCTATTTCTACCTTTTGATGAATTATAATCTATGAATTTGAGTTAGAGATGGTTAAAAATTTTCTTGATGACTTGTCTGAGTTTTTTGTGAGGAAGCTCGTTGTTAAGGTTGTTCATATATTCTGTTTCTGTCTTCTTCATTATGTACTTTGGCTTATTAGCTGTTTAATAAGGAAATGAATATCTTAAGTTTACATTTTTCATCTGAGAAATTAACAATTTGATCTGCAAATTTTATTTATTTCTTTACTTGGATGCTAAAGTATGATGATTTAAAACTTTTTTTTCCAATATTTGAAACTAAATCTTGCTAAGAACAGTTTGACATTGATTATGCAGAATTCTAGATGAATTTTTGTGAAATTGCAGCCAAAATTTTTGCTGGTATCTCAGTATTCCAATACACATTTTTTTAATATGTGCAAACAAAACAGGTACCAGCAGGTACTTATTAGTTGTCATTGTGATACTGTCAACTTTTTTTTCCCAAATAAACCCTTTGAAATTAGGGGATAACTAATCCCTTAATCACCCAGGGATAAAGTGCAATAATAGTTTTATTTTGATTCATTACTTATGATAATCAACATTGATAATCAATGTTTTATCTACTCTTAGTAAAATTTATATTCATGAATAAGAAGGACTTATGCAAGGAAACATAGAATTTTGTTATATAACTGATATACTAAATTTTTATGAGGAAAATCTGATTTGCTCAAAAACCTAGTTTTATCTTGCTGGTAAAATTACAAGGAGATGTGCAAAACATTTTAAAAGCAATGGATTATAGTTAATGTTGGTTTTAGGTAAAGACATAAAAATTCATTTTGTAGGGATGTAGGGTCAAAACAAGAAAAATCTTCTCTAAACCATTGGCCTGCATCTCACAATTTGCAAAATTTTCCTCAAGACTAATTTATTTGTTCGCTGGTTTATTGGGTTGGAGCGAAGTAAAGAAAAATGTAAAGTAGACTGTTTGTGTTCTCAGTCAAGTTTGCTCTGAACTAAAACAAAAAAAACTGTGAACACTTTGACACGATTCTAACAGGTCGAGTATGTGCTGATTAATAAAAGTTAAGTTCAAGATGTATGCAAACCTCAAAACCAGGGACTAATCACCACTTGTTTTCTGTTTAGTTTTCAACAGCTGATCTGCCTTTTCATTGAATTACAACACTCCATCAGTGTTTCTGGTGTCTGTTGTTTTTATGAGTGTCGTAGCATAAAAACTCTCCATGAAGAGAATGAGTTTGATAATTAAAAAGATTTGATTTGCTTTCTGAACATTGCTTTGACAGTATTTCTTGCATGTTCCTTATTTGTTGGTATTTGTAGATGAAACTGTCATTGAGACTGTTGATGTAAATGGAACAAGAGAACTGGAATCAGTACCAGAAAGTTTGGATGGTGGTGAGTTGTACAGTTCATACATGTCTTGACATTTATAGCAATTGTTGGCCCAGGAACTTGTCCTCAATAGTCTGAGTGAAATTTTAAACTGCAAGCTAAATGGAATAGACAAATATGTTGTGGAAAGAGTGTTCTTTAACCCTGAAACTCTATTAGTGACCAAGAGAAAGTTTCTCCTTACATTATCAATACAATACCAAGCAGATAGGTGAGGAGAACAACCAAAAAAAATCAATTAAGGGATTATTAGCTGATTGCTTACCAAATTCTTGGAACTTACATCATAAGAACTGTTTGAGACATTATAAGGAGCTTATCAATGAGATCTTGGAAGTGAAATGGTTAAGGTTCTAGCTCTTTTAATCATAAACCTCTGCGGCGTACTTAACTCTCCATTTTCTGCCCTTGTGACAATTCTTGATGGAGGCAGCAGTTGTTTTTCAGATCCCTTTCCTTCTCAGGTTGTTACATAAACCCTCTGAAGAACATACCCAAGTACTTTACATGATTAGACTTTAACCTATTTTCTCTCTGTATCGCATTTGGCCCAGCAAAATAATGTAGTTTAAAATTGTTAATTTTTTTTTTATTCTATTTCTTTACAGAAGATGCAATAGAACTGGAAAACATGGAGGACAGTGATCAATCAAACACAGATGATGTTAAAATCCTACAAGGTAAGTTATGATGTAGAGTCCTCGAGATACTAAACGTAGAGTGTAGTTTCACCATTCTTTTGTCTGTTAAACCTTGAAACATATACACGTCATTTTTTTCCCTCACAGTTCAAGTTGAAAATCTCCAAAGTGAAGTTAGTGAAAAAGAAAGGGTTCTGAATTCTCTTCTAGGCAATTTTGAATTAGAATTGTAATTCAGAGATATGACCAGGTATCATTTTTACTCGTGGAAACGCGCAGGGGGATTCGATATGTAAATTGTCTCTCGCTTCATCCAGGATTACAACTGGGTACTGGCGAATTTTCAGGACCCAGATGAGATGCTGTGGGGGGCGGGGTGGTGGTAACCTAGGGGTAATTACTCTTGGCTAGTTATTGATAAATGGTTCATGTGTTGCCTTGTTATTTTTCATCAATTCCTTTTTTTTCCCCCTTTTTTTCGTAGGCGATTTAGAAAAGTCACAACTAACTGCGAAGGAAGACAATGAAAAAATTCGCTCACTTGAAGGTACGATGTGGCTAAAATCGTTTTTTTTTTTTTTTCAAATTTCTTTCTCTCCCCAGCCTAGACAATCAAAATATCGTGTTTCTTTCTTCTATTACAGAGCAAGTGGTGGAGCACCATCTTCAGGACATTGATAATCTGTCCATTCCAAGTGACATCGGCGATGATGAAGGAGACCATTTTGATGCCTCTCAGCCTGTCGCTAGTAAGTGGTGTTTATTTTTTCATTTTCCTATCCCCATTTACAATGTTGTCACATAGGATTTCGTAAATTTCATCCAAATGGAAATTTCCGCCATCTCGAAGCACAAAAATTGTATCAGCTAAACAGCGCTCCCTTAAAGTATTCGGTGTATGCAGTAATTCAATTCTTTTTTCTGTGAACAGATCATGATGACCATGAAATAGATAAGATAGATAACAGAAACTTGTCTGATGAGATGGATCTTGTCAAAAGACTTTATGGTAAGAAAAGAGGCATATGCCATTCTCTGTATTGGTTTCAAATAGCTTGACTTGCAGTGTATTGTACCTTCATCTTGATACGGTTAAGGCACTTTGTCCACCAGTTTTTTCTCTCTCTTGGTCCCTGCTGAAGTCTCGTATCAGCTAAAAATTACATGGAAAAACGATGAATCAAATCAAGAACACACACAATGTATAACCTACAGCTCATAGCTCTGAAAAACAAGTCGCAACTCATAGGTTGTTGTTGCAGATTATTTGAGAGTTCCTTGCGCGTGTTCTAAAAGGAAGTACAGAGCATGTTCAAGGAAAACCTGATTAGCTGCGCCTTGCACTAAGAGACTGCGAGCTGGCCTTTAATATGAGTGCTACAGGACGCGCTTTTCTCCGCCCGTGAGAAGATTTGAGAAGAGTCGGGGAGAGGTTCGCTGTGGCTCTGGCACTAATTACCAGTGTTCGACCTCTTGCACTGGCAGGCAACACTTATTATTTCTGCATTATTATTTGCAAATTCGTAATTAGTTTCCTTATTTTGTCAGATCGCATCTGTGAGGTGAAAACCATGGCTGAAGAGAGGCACTTGATGATGATTAGGTGGTCTGGTGAGTAGTGGACATTCATTGAGATGGTGCGAAAAATATTCTCAATCTCATGTCGCATGTTCGTCCAAGGATTGGTTGCAACTTTTATTGTTTAGCATTGCCCTTGACTGTGTAAGGCTTAAAAAAAAAACCAGTCAAGCACTACATAGTCCTGACCTTTACGCCAGTTTCAGTTGAGTGTTGAAAGTAATCTCGGATTGCACCGGTTTTGCTTTACTTCGCTCTGTGATTGGTTTAGAAAACTCGCGCCGCTCTCTCGACCAATCAGATACAAAACTAAAGCCAATTACGACTTGGTCGCCCGCGTTTTCCCGCGCTTCAGGCAGTTTGCTTGTTTTTTAGTCCTGATTGGCTCTTTAGGATATTTTTCTTTCTTCTGATTGGCCATTGTGATTACTATGATTTTGGGCACTCAGTGGAGGAAAGCGCTCCAATGTACACAAAACTACAATGTCATTAGTATTGCTGTATGTGGCTACGTTTTTCCGTGTAAATGCGCTCTAAAAATTACAAATTCTTATAAAAAGTCTCATTTTCTTGTTTTAATTTGTTTCTCAGCTGATAATGATGACGATGACGAAGATGAAATAGTTGCTAATGATGTCACTGCTGAAAAGTCGCATCGAGAGGAAACCTCTGGTCGTAAGTGATGGATTTATTGTTATCGACCTTATAAACGATTTAGAGCGCGTTTCTTTCGTCGTAATGTGAGATGCAAGACAGGCTTTATGTGATTTGGTATGTGACGTACGATAGCGTAATGTGAAACATCTTAGTTGGTTCGGTTACGAGATGCTGATGGCATAACTGACCCAGTTTTCAGAACTCTTTTTAATCATGAAATCTGAGCGGTCTGTTAGGTCGACTGTGGAAGCCTCTTAAGAAAATTTAATACACTTTCTATGCCTTTTATCTGTGCCTTATCTTTCGTTGTAAGTTGTTACTTACATTAACATGATTCTTTCAGCAGATCAACCACGGAACGCAAGGCAATTGTTGCAAGACAGTTTACACAATGTACAAGACATAAAAGGTAAACAATATTGCATTGTTAGCATGTTTCTTCACAGATATTATGTCGCTGGTAATATATAGTTTCGTGCACTCCTATTGGTCTGGGATTACAACATACATTGCTATTAATACAAATGATTTACGTTTTAATATTATTTTTATTACAAATATTTGACCATTTCCTGTCGTGCGTTAGTAAGCATTAATGTGAGCAACACTATTTGGGTTTAAAATCGTTGTATTTTCGTCGTTTTTTGTAAGAAGCAGTACAAAATTTGATCCTGTTGAGGGGAAACTTTTCACAATTCGAATACGTAGTGTTTTAGTTGAAAAAAGTAAATTATAAAATTAATAGAATTGGCTTTTATACTTCCGGGACCAAAGAATTAAAGCCACAACGGAGTTTGACAAATTTTCGCGTGCCCATTAGTCCATCTTAAAATTTCTCGATTTGACTTGAAGTTTGTTGTAACTTTCAGGAGAATTCATTGAAATTGGAAGAATCATCGATAATGAACACGAAGAGTCGCAGCATGTGCAAGGTTTGTAAACTCTTACAGTTTATTACATCAGAAGGAAATAATCGTCAACCGTGATAAGCAGGTCCAATATTTCGTATCTGTGACGTTTTTAACTCTTTTAGTTTCATGTGCTGCTTTTTAAAAGCGGCAATTCCTTTTCGGATTTGCCGTCGCAAACATGTGGACAGGATTGTTACTGAGTAAGAGATGCAAAATTCAGCCGCATTTTGTCTAGAAAGTTTCCTATTACAATTGGCGTACATTACCACTTCTCATGGAAACATTTTTCGCTATATTCAGAGGTGGTAGATAAAGGATGCCTTCGTATTGCCGTCGGCAGCAGTAGGAATGACATGCTAATCGAAATGCGGTTTAAGTTATGAGCTTTTTATTTCGTGCGTCAAATATAGTCACTGTATCTCTTCCATTTGGCAATTTGCCTCCCGTTGTGTGTAAAAAAGTACCTGACAATTTTTATTCTACACATGAGCTAATTAATAATGGTTGTTAAAAAACTCTCGAAGGAGAATTTGCTCTTGAGATAGTCGCTCAGATATATTTGTTTTGTTTGCAGGGCAACTGAATGATACCCAACAAGAACTGAAGGAAAATAACGAACTTGTGGTCGAGTTGCAAGGTGGTTTTCAGTTCTTACCAGACTCTTTCTTGTTTTTAGTGTGTTTCTAACAATACCTCGCCAAAGATTTTGTTAAAAGGAGGTGTGGATGGTCACGTATATTTGTGAATTTGTAAAAGTTGCTTTCTATTTGAACAGAGATTACTAGTATTTGTGTCATGTTCGATTACTGACCTAACGTCCGAGGTCGAGACTTACAGAATAAAGGTAATTAGCACAAGGAGGAGAGGAGACCTTTAGGTAGGAACAAGCAACTGCAGGAAGCGCGGGAAAACGCGGGTGACCGGGGAGTTTTAGATTTACTTGTGATTGGTTGCGAAAGTGGTGCGTGTTTTCTGAACCAATCACATCGATTTTCCTAATGTATCAACGTGTTCTTAACACTGCTGACACTCACAACAGTAACTAATTCATATTTACCACCTCATATTTATTTTGCTGAATGTTTCATATTTGATTTGATTTTATACTTTATTTTATCCTTTTTTATTTTTATTCGGCGTTTTCATCTTATTTCAGAGGAGCTGAAAAATGCGCAGGCTTATACAAAAGACTTCAAACAGCAAATTTTAGACCTGAGAGGTACTTTGCCGTCTCACCGTTACGTTGCTTTGCTTTCTTTCACTCGTTTGACTTCTAATATTCACATCATTGAAGTTCTCTCATTTATTGTGCTCTCTTTACCTTTCCCTTCCCGTCATTTTGTTTAATGTGCGCTTTGATTGTACATTTTTGGTCTCGAAGCTATTGTGTATTAAAAACAAGATATATTTATTTTAGAGTAGAATATGGCGCCCTCTCAGTATAGCGGTTTTTCGGGTGCTCGATCAAAATCAAAACTCCCCCAAACCACATGCAGCTACACAGGCCAAGTGAAATACCATCCTTGTCTCAAACGAAACAAGGAAAGTAAAATCTACGATGCATTTTGTTTATTTTTTCCCTAAAAAATTAAAGTTTGTTTGCTTTTGATTTTACAGACAAATTACTTGAAGAACAAGAATGCACTCGGAAAAAAGAAGAGTTTGTTGCGCAACTAAAACGTAAGTTAATTGACCTGTAACTACCAAGATTCAATTTGCAATTCTCCCTTCTGGCTGCGTTGTGTCCTCTTGTTAATGAGTCAAGAGAAGGTACTTGTTAATCAAAACTAGGGATTTTTAAAACAGAATTCTGTATATTAATTTTATCCCTCGTTGAATCGATCTTAATGTACAGGAGAACTAAATGAACTGTTACGAGAAAAAGATCTCCTTGCGTTGGAGAAAAAATGTGAACATCACGCCACTGAAACCGCCATCAACAATGCGCGAGAGATGCAGAAACAGGCAGCTAAGAGTGCGAAGGATGCTAGCAAGAATAAAGGTCAGTAATCTCTATTGTCATGAAGAAATGGGACGTCATTAATGGTCTAGGAAGACTAAAATGATTTCTTTAAATCTGGATTTATTTCAGTGGGGTGTTTAGATATCAGGCTTTTTTTTGCCCCACACAAGGAGTTGTTGTGGCAAGTGATTGAAAATTTTTGTGTGGTCGAAAATGTAACAAAATGAAAAAATATTACAGTTTGATTTCAATCGGCATTTTTTGTTGTGGTTGCTGTTACAGTGGAGCTGAGTGCAGTCACAGACGATAATCGCATCCTGAAACAAAGAATACAGATCCTGGAGAGCGAGCTGAAAAAGTGAGTCGCAAACTTTTGAATTTCTTCACCAGAATACCCGAACTCAATGACGAAGTCGTTCCCTTTTCCTTTTTTTTCAATCTGTTTTTATTCGACCTCATCCCATAGGATTGATAGGTCTCTTTCACTGTCGTTTTTTTACGACTGTGGAAAAGATCCTTCAATCTAGCGGATCAATTCTTCGGAATAAAAACTATCAATAGCTAATTCACTCATCTGATCGTTTTTTTTTCTTTCCATGAACTTAGATACCGCAGGGAAAACAACCGCTTGACCTCTGATCAATCCCGTCTTCAAGCAACGTACCGTGAGATCGAAAACCAGAGCAAATTTTTGAGCGAAAAAATTATGCGTCAACAGGTTTGTGAAGCCCTTGACAATTTTATCGAAGGGTGCTTGTGCTTCCTAATGCGTTTAGGTGGCCTTGTTTTTGGTTAGCGGTATAAGCAGTGTGCTGTTTGTCATTTCAGACTACGCTACAAGGCAAGATTGAAAGGGAAATAACGGAGAAAAAACTCACTGAAGATCAGGTATTTAAATTTGTTATTGACTAAATGGTGCTTTTCAAGATCGGGAATTACGCTTTTATCGCGTTATAATCAATCTCGCTGGATTAATTTCTCTTCGATGACTTTCCAACAATCTTATGAACCAAATCTAATCCAAACTTTGAAATTTTGCGCGAAGAAATTGGCGTGCAACCGGCTAAATTTATCCCTTTGCGCATGACCGAAGTTAGACTGCTGTTATGGAAGACTTCAAACAGGTATACAGCGAAGGAAAGCGTAAAACTGGCGTGTAGCGCGTAAAAAATATGTCACAGGTGTGTTCAATCATATTCATATTCCTCTGATGTGGTTTAGGCCAGTGCCCTCGAGGAGCGACTTCTTGAAACGGAAGTGAAGCTTCAGAAAACGCAAGAGGACGCTCAGAGGAATATCCAAAAGTTAAATGACGCTAATTCACATCTGGTGAGTTTTGCTCTACTTGTAATCCCTTCACAAAAGTGCAACTAGAGCTAATCTAATCGTTTAGTTTCATTTGCGTTTTACTTCTTGAGAGTCTGCCAGTGCGGCGTAACTTTAATTTCAGCCCCTTTGTCAGTACAAGGTCAATTTAAGCCAAATTTCCCCTCGGAAGCTTACCTTTATGACGAAGTTTCCAAACTTTATATGCACATCGGGTATGCTAGGTTTGAAGCTCAGAAATTAGGCTGCCGACCAAATGAGGCGGCTCAAAGATGGCGTGCGATATTGAAGGATTATAAGTGCTTTTGCTCAGGAGTGTTATTGTACCTTGCCGAGCGATCGCCGGCTCAAACCAGCCAGTGGTCGCCCCTTTTTCGTCTGGCGCCTAACGACAACCCTGGGCAGGTAAACTCATGGGAGTAGCTTAAGGTTTGATCGCATTCAGTTCCGGAATCATATTCTTATGAAGTGTCTTCTGGATTTTTTTTGTTTTCAGTGGACGTACATCAAGGCTGGTTTGGTGGCATTTATCGCGTTCATTTTGGCATACGCTCTTGGTCTTATTGAACTACATCCAGGTGGAACAACTAGTGTTCTCTGGAGTTAACGAATGTTTCCTCTAGTTAGCGTATACTTTGTACTATTGCAACCAAGACGTTTCATTCTTTTGAAAAAGAAAATTTTGGCGTTCTTTCGGACGTATCTAGTGCGTTACTTTATATACAAGCTTTGCGTGACAGGGAATCGTGCTGTGACAAGGAAGAGGCGTAGCGTGACGCGCCTGATTTTGTTGGAGGGGATTGCATAATCTTTCGTAAAAGAAAGAAAATTGGATTATTTGGATTATTTGTTTGAAAAAAAAAATTGCCTCCCATAATTATTACTTATTAATGTCAAAATTGGGCAATCCGTTCGTCGCTCCATTTTATTTGATATTGTTCTTGTACGAGTTGGAAACGTTTTATACTGCATGAAACAAAGTTTTGTGTTCCAATCAGGGTGTGCTGCCCTTTCTCTGTCTTTGTCCATCAATGATTACTTTTCTGTTTTCTCGCGGCAATGTTTACTTTCAGGAAATTCTATGTACCCTTAGTCAAGAAAATCATTGAAACTATTTCCATCGAGATAAAAGTCGGTCTAGAGGAGTTTAAATCGAAATGTGTACTTTTGAGTGGGGAACGAGGAGGGGGGGGGGGCCTTTTGCAAAAGAACTAATCAGCTCACTTCGTTAAACTCAGATGCCTTTAAAATCTTCTGTTAACACCCGTCGAATGGTATTTTGTCTCGCCTAGGTAACCTTGTGTTTTACAGGTCAATAAACAAATTTTTTATTAATTTGGCTTTCCTTGGCAAGTTTTATCAAATTCGCTACTTGGCAGATGGCGGGAAAGTAACCTAATGGTATTAGTATTGCTCTATATCAATTCCTCACCAACCAGGTTTGGAAACATTCATTTTAAACGTTTATATTTTATTTCATCATTTCTTTGTTTTTTCTCACTTAAATACCCTCATTTAGTCAAAATAGATGATGGGTTTTCCGTTTCAAACGTATTCTAGATAGTTTGTCATTTGAACTCTTTCGACATCTTCATTAGTGTCGCCGTTTTGCAGCCATCTTTCTAGCAGTCTCGTTATCCCAAACATTGCATATACGGTTATCGATTTCTACGTATCACTAGGATGATCGATTTCGAAATAAAACTGCAGGTTCGGACAAATATTAGACGGACTTTGTCTTTTTCCTTGTGCTCTTTTGGTTGGTTTGTTTTGGATCTTAAGGTCCACACACCGCCAGGATAGTTGCTAATCAATCGCGCAAAGGATCAAGCGGGGAGGAGGGAATACTCATAGTCTAGCTAACAACAAGAACAACCAGAAACTAACGAGCACTCTTCCGGAGACGAGAGTGTTAGATCATACAAAGGACTCTGGTAAACTCCAACTTGGCCGACCAGAGTAACGCGAAGGGTAGCTTCGGTTTGGTGTACCAAATGCTGGTGTGAAGCTTGTGTATAAATCTCTTTGTGGCAGTCGATCAAACCCTGCCTCTAGAAATCCGTTGTGATTGCATGTACACACAGGCGAAGTGTCTACAGTCACAAAGCTGTAACTATAAGGGTGGTCGGTTGAATACGACAGGGGCTTATCTTCTAGTAAAATCCCTTCATCAAGGTAGTCGAATTGATAATGCTGCCTCGCGCATGGCATTTTCTTCTTTCTCCTCCGGCGCGTGCGTGGTGTTGCGTTGGCGCTGACCGCAGTCGACTCCACGCTTCCAATTGTTGAAGTATCCAAGTCTAAACCACCATTTTGCTTGCTCAGCGGCAGAGTCCCTCCATTTCTTACCCCACCCCTGTTAGGATACTTGTTAGCTTTTACGTTCTCTTGGATGATCTGCTCATCAACGACACTGTATACAGTGGAGAGAGGAAACAACATTACTACTTAATAATTGGGACGACTTGGCTCCTGGTCATAGTACCCTTCTTCCCTTAAGTCAAGTACCCCCCCCCCCTTTTTTTGAGGGTCCACAGGTACATTCGTATCTCGAGTGGAGAAGTATTCTCCCAAACCGTTATACTCGTGGATGGAAAGAGGCTCTGGGAAGCGACCAGGGCTAGAACCCAGACCTTTCGGTTCGAATTCCAGCGCGCGAACCGTACTTGTACCATGTCTGCAAACTCCTTGATACTCTCAACAAAATCGGCATTTCATGAACACTTCGACGACATGAGAAAAAATTTAACGATTTAAGCACGAACGTAAATAAACTAGAGAGTAAAAGGAGCGTTACCTTCGGAGATGATTGTCATAGACGAGGAAGACAATAGCCAAAAGCCATAGCAGCAAAAACAGAAGTGGAAATAGAATCAGGCACACTGCTTCTGCGCTTGAGATCTGAATGAGATCACACAGTTGGTTACGTGATTAGAACAGTAAAATCAATATCTTCAAGTAAATAACGATTTCCAGCAATGGCCCCTCTTCGAGACTCCCACAAAGGTCTGGCGCTCGAAACGAAAATATTTTTAAGTAATTCCCACAGCAATTGATTAAACTTTTTCAGAAAGTGAAGAGGTTTTACAGATTATTGCTGTGTTTACTACCTCGGAATCGGATGGTGCCCCTGAAAGGCACAATTACTCCTACAAGGGAGGGGATTGGGGAGAGGGTGGCTGTGAAATTCTACCTTGAGTATGCGCGCTACGTCCTCCGTATTTTCAGGATCATAGTAGCAAGAAAATGTATTGTTAACCTGAAAAACAGAAACAATTTTAGTGTTACTTTTCAAGGACTGGTCAAGATTTCAATAAAGAGCAAAAAAATTGGAAAAAGAGGCCAAGGTTAAGGGTGAACAGTTAGCTTCTCTGCTCGAGGCTAAAATTGTTCCGGTACCTATAAGTTGCCTGTACTAAGTTATCTTCACTAGACATTAATTTATATTCGAAATATCTTTTGGAAAGCTTTCTTCGACTACTGTCAACTTTTTTTTACATGAAAATTGGAGGGTTGTCCAATACACCCAAACTGAAATTTGATGCCATCATCATTGGTGATTGTCGTTTTATGATCAGGTAGAGGTTAGCGCGAGCATTTCTTCTTTACTGAATCGATCGAATCAAGTTAATGCCAGTTCAAACAATATCAAACCCCTTAACTATATCTCACCGTTCCGTACAGCTCGATGTATGTTGGCACACAGTCCTCCATGGTTAAATCAGAGTTCCAAGCACATGAGCTGTACCTTCCGAACAGGTCACTGTTACCAAACGTAAAAGAACACTGTAAAGGAAAAGAACGGAGCATCAAGTTCAATTATCATCCAAGGAAGGGGACAAAAGTGTCAAAATATCCAAGAGTGCTGCTCTGGTTTTCAGGCGATCGTTATTGGCGCTTCGGCACGAGTGATTCTTCGAAATTATGAGACCATGAGCAACGGACTGATAATTAGTACCGGACCCCTGCAGGCCCTGCAGCGCTAATAATGAGGGCTCTAGTTTTGCCTCACTACGCTCTATCATTGGTTAAACAAAAATTGTAACACTTTCTCGACCAATCAGATGACATCTTCTGCTTCTGGTCCTTTACTAGCTGTACTACGGTAAGATGGAAGTATTTACTGAGAGCGCCTCAATGGCTCCATGTAAAATCTACCCCCTCCCTCCCCCCCTCCCTCCCCCCTTAGCTTGACCTGGAATAAGCAGTCAACAGGCTTGACTTTGTGAAATAGGAAGGAAAGAAACCACGAAGGGATCTGGGAGAGGTCTGGAGAGGAATAACGTCCAGAGAACTCCTTACCAGGCGACACTCTCTTCGCTTACTGTGTTGTTTCGTGGGCGCATTTTTGTCCCTTATGCCCAGAATGGAAGCTTTCAACAGGTAGATTTCAGACCATTTCTCTTATCAATTATGGAAATCTGAAAACTCTACACCTTCAATTAGAGTATCAAGGGAATTTTTGTACTCAAAGTTCTTTACGAAAACGCAAGTTCTACAACCTTTTCGCAGTAAACTAAAGCTTGCTCGTTTTCCATGAGAACCGCTTCAAACTTTGCTGTTTGGCCAACATCGTACATCACCTGAAAAGATTCGCAGCACATCATAAGTAATCTGAATTATTTTAAGAAGCATTTCTCTCAGGAGCCTAACAAAGAAGCTCAAGAAAAGCCCAACAAATTCCGTGAAAATTAATTTTTTTCGATGGAATTTTATCACATTGCCTCGATTTCAAGTGATGGATCTAGTTCGCCTTCGCCGTTGATCAAAGACAACGGGCAGCGCCTACACCTTTAACTAGAGTATCAGGGGAATTTTTAAAGAGTAATAAAAAATAGCACTCGTTCACCAGCTTGTCACGCAAATTGCGTAACGCTAAATTTTTACATCGATTTTCTCAAATTCCCCTCTTCTGTGTTCCGCTGGTAAGGGTAATGCAGCCCTTTGAATGGTTTTCAATAAAAACATTCATAAACACTATCCTATCTTGCGCTATACCAAATACTTACGAAAATTTTGACGCAGGGACCGAATTTCTCTGTTCGGTGACTACAGGAACCCTCTTGAAAAACCTCTACATGAGTTACCACGCAATCGGTAGAAACTAATCCTCTGCCTGTTTGAGAGTCGAAACAGAGATGTGTTAACACCTTAGGAATAAAATTAAAGTGACATTTCTAACTCGATCACCAAGAATGGGTCGCCAAGGAGTAAAGGTCTCTAGGGAGCGAAAAAAACCACAAGGGGGTGGAGAGGGACACAGTGGACCCCCAGAACGGGTTCTCTACAATTATCATATTGTTTTGGGACAAGAGGGAGGCACAGTGTAGATTGAAATTCACTAAGTAGGCGTCAGTTTGGCGGCTTTTGCAATACACCGACACAAATGCTGAATACCTACGCAAAGGAGCAAGTACTTGAAAATGTTCCTAAGTTGTTAGACTAGACTATCATGATATTAAACTAGTAGAGATAGTATTGTTCAGCTGAATAATTTTTTTGTTTATTCTGTCAGATAGCAGAATAATGCGGTTTCAAAGCTTTAATATCGGCCAAGTGCCGGAAAAGCTTACACAATCGAGGTCTTTTTATTCCCAAGGCTGTAGAAGGCTCGGACGACAGAGGAATTGTCGTCCACATCGTAGAGGTGACAAGCACATGACAAACGCATCAGGAAACTTCAAGGGATCACGGCATAAAACTACCGTAACAAACGACATCGTACAAGTACAGACTAATGTCGAAGCGGTAAACAGAACTGAAAGAATTCTGAGATCATTATAGCGTACAACAAGTACAGTCTAGCGGAACAAACGCACTGAAATCGGGAATAGCATGGAAACCTCTCAAATTGATGTCCTCAAAAGATTTCACTTTCCAAACACATAATATTCTATTCATTTATTGCAAGAACTGCTTGGATCAGTGCCTACAAACTATACTATTTTTTCCTGCAACAGATGTGAACCGTGAACACAAAAGCCGATCTCTTTGTAACATTCGTAGAGGTTAATGAGCGACGATTTAGCAATAACTCAAGTGCACGTGTGAAGTAACGCAAAAACTACCAAAAAAAGTCTAGTTGTTTAAGAAACCACTTCACTAATCCTGTAGCAAACAAAAGTGAGGACCCTTCGGTAGATTTACATTTACACGGCTTTCATTATAGCTTGCTTGCCTACCTTGCAAATTACAATAATGTTTACGATTCTGAAATCGACAAGCTGTCAGACGACAAACAGTTCCGCAGACTGAACTCAAAACTTGAAACAAACTAAAAACTTTACCTTGAACATAGGGCCGCACAACGTAGATTCCGATGAGTATGAGTAAGATAAAGACGATAACCACACAAGGAAGGCAGAAACAAAGCGGACATCGAAGTTTGTCGGCAATATTTTCGCGCATAAGTTCATGTTTACTCGCTCGGGAACGTCGTTCAGTTCGAATATCTGCTTTCTCCCATTTCGATAAACGCGGTTGAGGCTTTGGCGCTTCATCTGGCCGCACAAAACTCGCCATAAACGCGTTTAATTATCCCTGGACGCGCAGTCTTTGCTTTTCTCTGTCTTTTCCACTCCGATCGACGGTAATGAGGAGGTAAATTTGCTATTCATTTATGAGTGTGCTATCATTCCCGAAGAGCAAGACGTTTACAAGCCACTCAAGATTACAATGGACTCAACACAAACATTTGATTGGTGAACGCTATAATGATTAATCATGCGTGTCACAAATGCAGATTAGTTGCTTTAGTCTTGTCACATTTATCACCACGAGCTCTAATTTGAACAAAAAAAACGTTTTTACTGAAATAAATGACAATTACATAATGCAAAATCTCTTTCTTTTTAATTGTTGGCTTTCCTGTATCGATAGATTCGCGACAGAAAATCCAGTGAGAAGAAAAAAAGCGAAATTGATCAATTGGGCGCACGAACTTGCGCCTCACTTTGTCTCCGCCTCTGTCCGAGAGCGAGGAAAAGACTGAACAAAAGTAATAAAAAGCAAACCAACAAAAAAGACAGAAAATAAGATGATAACGAAAAATGGGAAATTATTATAATTTGAAGGATTTCTAGAAGTAGATAAGGCGAACAATGGAAGAAAAGAAGAAAATCTGAAAGAAAACGCACCGACAAGAAAATGGTATAAAAGATATAGAAATATGTGTTTTACTAGAAAAATCTAGTCTGGGAACCGTGTGCTTCACTCTCTGTGGATATTGATGACGTCATTTTCCGTTTCCGTTGAGTGAAAAATACCGAGTCATAATTCCGTACCCAGATTCTACCTTGTAACTGAAATGCTCGGCCTTAGAAGGTCTGGGTACAAGATTAGGGTAGTCAAACAGCAAGGAAGCAGGAATAAGCGTGAAAAATGATGTGAAAGGACTGAGAAGTTTACTGCAGATAAAAATATTTGAACAAATTGTGGTTTCTCAAAGGCTTGCGGTGCACCACTTTAATCTCATCATTATTTATATTACAGCAGTAATTTGACCCAGATTTCATATGTAATGGCCAAAATCAACTTGAATTTGAACTGCTAAGAAATTGACGTAATTTTTTGAGTGTAGGCAGAATATTGAAAGTCACTCGCTCTTTATAGCGCTCTTCATTAAAATTACTGTCGTTAATTGATCTCGTACCCAGATCCTACCTGTTTAACTGTGGCTGAAATGCTTGGTCAGGGTGCAAGACTTCAATGTCGTATAATATCACTACAAGAGGTCATATGGATTCCCTTATGATCCATTGATCACTACATGAAGCTGTGATAATGTAAAAAATTAAAACAAATGGAACGGTCATTATCTGTTGCTTGCTCCTCGGTCATTTTGCGTACAGTATAAAGAAAGATGTTTTTCGTCTTGTCATGTCTTGTGCCCATGAGGAATGGGAACTCAGATTTTTTCTTTGTCCCACGCTCGTGACAAGGCGTATAACATCTTTCTCCTATTTCTTTACCAAGTTCGAAATTTACCATCTGTCTTATTCCATACCTACAATATGTTCTTTAAAATTTCACTTTGCTGTTCTTATCTTTGTTTTGTGAGATCTTTGCTAGCAATGTTAATCTTGCAACACTCTCAATAAAGAACCAAAAAAAAAATAAAATAAAGGCAGTGATTGGGGCAAATCCCCATATAGGCTTGGCCAGACTTACGAACAGAAACAGGCGAAGTTGTGGAAATTTTGATGACTTTTTAGGCAAGGTGAGAAAAATAATTGGGGGCCACGGTTTTAGCTGAACTAAACCCGTTCCCCTTTCCCCATTCACCATTCTCCATTCCCCATTCCCCATTCCTTATTTCCTATTCCTAATTTTAGCAATCTCCCTTATATTTTACGATAGCGGTAAAAATATTCTCTATGGACTATGTTACAAGTTTGCTTTGTATTAAAACAAAATCAAGTTATTCAAGTAACTAGACGTTAAAAGTTAAAATGGTGAACTTTTGACGATCTGTAAAAACGGAATGGAGAACGATCTTGTCTCTTAAAATGCCTCCGTTTTGTGCGAGATACTTCATTGACAACGGGATAAAAATGTCATCTGTACAGCGCAATAGATCATTATATGTAAGCAAACCAAATATTTTATAATAGTGTATAAAATTACGACGGCTTGTTTCCCTTCCTTTAAAACTGTCCTCGTCTGATTTAATATTTGTCAAAACTTCAAGTTGTTAGTTATAAAATATGATTGTGAACTTACGCTAAATAAAACACAGCACCATAAATAATACTTCTGGCAATTTGTTCTTCAGGAATTTTTCCAAGATAAGAAAAGCTAGCGAACATATTTTTGCCAGTGATTATAACGTCTGTTCAGAGCGGGTGGTTAACAAAATTAACCAATCACATCCGAGCTGGCGAACGTTGTTTGAAAACGACGCTTGTTTTTCTAATTATTGACATGCAATATGAAAAATTCTGGAGTTTTCCTACCGTTCACACTTTCATGAGTTCCTGGAGTGGGGTTTAGTGGTTTTACAAATTATATGGCTGTCATTTACCAAAATAGGCCTGCTTTGTTTACCTTTTAAACGCACGTTTTTTCGCATTTCATCATTGGCAAGTTTTTCTGCACTCAGCAATGTTGGGCGTTCGAGGAGCTCGGATGCAACAAAGCGTAAACACGAATTAAGTTACTAAAGGTAGGTACAAACTTTCTATGAGACTTTCAACCCTCAATTCTCCTCAGAGAGACTTTATCTTCCAGAATTTACCTATGCATTTTGCAGCTGCATAGCCCCTCTTGCTATTTATGATAGCGGAGAGACGTTTTAAACTGAATTCTACCAATCGAAGGTTTAGTTTCAGGTGAAGAAATAGGAACTTTCGTTGCATAATAACCTGCTATCCGAGCGTTATGTTAGCGTCGGTTAGTGTTGTTGCTTTTTTTTTTTTCCTTTCCGTGGAATGCGAACTCCACTCGTATTAGCAAATTCAGCCAGTTTGGTTTTAAAGGGCGTCGCGGAAGAGCAGATAGTTAATTTAATCTCCTATATGGCAGCTCGATTCAAGTTCAACGTTGAATTTCGGGTTTAATTTTTAAGCTTAGTATAGGTGGGGCGTCCGCTTTAAACAGTCATTGGAAACTCGAAGATGAAAGCGCGATGAAAGTCTTTACCATCCCCCCTTTTTTATGTCGCTCTTCTTCAATACTGACCTATCCATGCTGTTCTTTTCCACACGAGTCTTTTGAGGGGAAAATACTGTTGTCAGATTATTGCATTGCACTACTATCAACTGAATCTTATCGAGTTTCTTATTGTTTAACAATCAAACATTTTTTTTATAGTATATTGTGTGTAGAGCAGGTAACAAACTGATTCTACAATCTAGTATTATCAACTGAGTTGATAACGCAAATTGGCCATCGCAATGAGTTTCAAAGCTGTCTCAATGGTCTGTAAATAAAATTGTTAACTCCCACGCTTTCTAAATCAAGATATGACCGAATGAACGAAGAGATATGTAATAAAAAAACTGTTTAATTTATTTTCCTTACCCAAACTCATATAATCAGCCAGTGAGTCGGCTGATGTTTATAGGAAAAGGTGTAGTCATTAATTAAGTCACAGGAGTCGTGAGCTTGGATATACTCCTGAATCATTTAAACCGCAATTAGTTTACATGCGAGTGTTGCATAGAGGACATCATCTATAATACGCCGAATGTATTGAAACGGAAAAGCACAAAAAAAGAGATTGCGTCCGACACTGGGACGAATGAATGAATTGTTTACGGACAACGATCACAGCCGACAGAAACCCTTAACTGCATCTTTGAGCATACTCAGTAGACCATGATTATTCCGCCAAAAGAGCAAGGGAATTATAACGTTGGCGTTTTCGGAAGCTCCTTTTCAAAATGTTTTCCGTTCACAATTTTAAAAAACCCAAAGCTAGCGTTTTCAAACATTTGGATGAGCGTTTTCAGAGTTTTGTGTCTAGACTTACTTGAACGATACGCCTCTTCGCGGAAACCTGGTTGCGATTTTGGACATGTTCACAGAAATTTCATGATCGGATTGGTAATGAGAGGCAGCAATCGTTGGTAGTGAATCATGACATCTGGTACACAGAAAGCAGAACGTTTCCTCTCGTATCCATCTGCACTGTCCCTGAAAAGACGTTCACTACTTTTCGAATGCTAACTCAAACCTTTTCTTATTTTTTTACAGCATGGCCTCTTATACTTTCGAGAATGATGCAGTCCTCGACCGGAATCAGAACATTACACGACAACCAGCCAAAATTAGCCGAGTAAATGTCTCCGATGACGAAGGAGACCGAGAAATATCGTCGGGATTCCGTGGTCGATCCCAGAGCTTAAAATACCTCAATGAACGAGAAGAGACTGAGACCATATCTAGGTCAAAAAGCCTTAGGGATGTAGACACGGGAGATTTTGATAACGTCAAGGCTCGGGTGTCTTATGTTGATAGCTGGAACCCAGTGAATCCTGTAGGGCGGGGTAGGATAGCAAAAAAGATTCAAAGCTGGGAGAATTTGGACGCCGACGGAGACAACATGTCGAGAGACACAGAAAACGGATATGACAGAAAGAGCTACAATAGCTCAAATTCTTCACGAAAGCAGAGTTACGAGGGCTACGCGAGATATGGGTCGGCTGCCTCCGGTGGATGGAGGGATGAAAGATACGAGCAGTATGAAGAATACAGCCAGGAAACTTCTGCTTCGTATTTGTACAGCGACAGAGACCTAGACGATCAGGTAGGGGAATCAGATAACAGCATATGTGCGCTAAGTTTGAAAAGAAAATTCCGCGTTTGTTTGACTTGCCGATCGGTAAATATCGGAATTATCAAACGAGTAAAAGGTATGATAATTCTTCACATTTGACCTGATAGTCTAAAAGGGTTTCATGATAATTGGAAGAGAGAGTGCCGAATTACTGTAAAAGCGGTACGTTTTTGATTGACGCAAAAACTGGATAGACATTAACGGACACGGAAATTCAACTGAGTTTGAATTATTGAAAGGAAAGAAGAAAATGAATGAATCTGTAATGATTTAGAACATCAATGATCACCAATAGGCCAAGTAATCATTTAATTCCCGATCGTCGGTCAAACTCAGAGAGTTTCCCAAACATCGAATTGCG